AAGAATCCCAGGACGCTGAGACCAACACGAAGATGTTGAGCTCTGATCACTGATAAGTGATGATAGCACGGAGAAGAGAAGGCTGCAAGGTGACCTCAGTGCAGCCTTCCACTACCTAAAGGGAGCCAACAAACAGGAGGGGAGTCAACTCTTCACAAGGGTAGATAATAGAAGGGCAAGGGGAAATGGTTTTAAGTTGAGGGAGGGAAGATTTAGGTTGGATATAAGGGGGAAGTTCTTTACTATGAGAGTGGTGAGGTGCTGGAACAGGCTGCCCAGAGAGGTTGTAGATGCCCCGTTCATCTCTGGAGGAGTGCAAGGTCAGGTTGGATGGAGCTCTGGACAGCTTGGTCTAGTATTAGATATGGAGGCTGGTGGCCCTGCATGCGGCAGGGGGTTGAAGCTTGATGATCCTTGAGATTCCTTTCAACCCAAACCATTCTATGATTCTATGATTCCATGATTCCATGGCTTACTTTTGTAAAGAAGGATCATTTTAGGAACACCTACACAAACTGGACATACATAAATCCATGAGGACTGATGAGATTCTGAGGGAGCTGACTTGTGTCATTGTGAGGCCACTCACAGTTAGCTTTGAAATGTGATGGTGGTCAGAAAAGCTTCCTGAAGATGGTAGGAAAGCAAATGTCACGGATTTTCAAGAAGGGCAAGCAAAGAGATCTAGGACTTGGACAAGAGGCAATGGAAACAAACTGGAAAACATGAAAATCCATCTGAATACTGGAAATTACAGGGCCAGTGGTCAGAGAAGGCTGCCCAGAGTCAACGTGAAGGTTCCAACAGAGGAGATATTTGAAACCCAAGCAGACATTGTCCCAGGTAGCCTGCCTTATCTGCACCTGCTTGAACAGGGAATTTGGAGATGATGGCACAAAATCCCTTCCAGCCCAAATAATGGGGTGGTTCTGTGAGAGCTGTGGGCTGTGCTTTCCATAATAAAGCAAGAAACAATCATCACCTGTTTAAAAGATGTATGAAAGAAGTTACCATGTAGAATTTATGAGTGTTGGAAGACCTAGAGGTAATAACAAGATAACTGACTTAACAGTGTAGTGCAAGAGTAAACGCTCTTCATGGCATTAACTCAGAGCTCTGATGTTCTTAAAGCCAGTAGAAAGGCAGGAATTTTTGGTTTCTGTATATATGATTGTATACTATAGAACAGTTGAGAGTATGAAATACTGTGAAGTGTTAATCCAGACTTTAGTATGAGTGGGGTTTTGGTTGTACTTTCAAATAGCACTGTGGAAAAGTGATAGGTTTGCATCCTTTATTTCATTAAATCAACTGCTGTAACTAGATGACTGTGTGCTTCTTGAAACAGTATTTCATAATTATTTACAAGTATTCTATTCCAGCTATCAACTCTGTAGAAAAATGTATAGCAAGCAGCCTTCTTTGCTGTTTCAGCAGCTTTTTAAAGCACCTTCCTTAAAAATGATCAGTGTAATGCATAATGTCTTTTGTCTGTTAACTAAAGCTTTCAGCTTTAACATGAGAGCTGTTATACTGAGCCTTCAATTGTGTTGTAATTAAAAATGCCATTTTAAGTGGTCTGTTTCTGTGGCATTCTTGGAGTAGTGGACTTTACTGTCAAATTGTGCTATTTAATTGCTTATCAACTGCAGATACTGAGTTATTTATTTATTTTACTTTTGGCTAGGTAATAATATAATTTATTACGGTAGATTTAGCTGATGTTTGCTTTCATTCAGCAGCACTACACGTTGAATGCCAGTAAAATGAATTTGTAATGTAAAGGAAGGAAACTACTGTAAGTTGATGCAAGCAAATGTTTGAGATCAGAATGTAGCTGCCTTCTGTTTGTTTCATTAAGCTCCTACAAGCTACCCAATTATGTAACTCAAATAAATGCAAATTACTTCAAAATCCTACTTCTTATTTTAAAACTCCAGTGAATTTAAATCAGTTGTGATGGGCATTTAGGACATTGTTTGTGGATAAAAGTTGCCCTAAGTGAAAAAGTCTAGGGGATGCTTTAGGAAGTTAACTAGTTGTCTTTTCTTGTGTAGCTATGACATACATTTCTGATCTAGTGGTTGGCAACCCTGCACGCAGCAGGGGGTTTGTATCTAGATGATCATTGTGGTCCTTTACAACCCAGGCCATTCTGTGATTCTGTGATCAAATGAATGAGGATTAGGGTAGAATCACAGAGTCACAGAATGGCTTTGGTTGGAAGGAAGCTCAAAGATCATTTATTCCAACGCTTCTGCCATGGGCTGGGTTGCCAACCACTGCATTGGATGGGTAGATAGGAAAGACTTTTTGCTTTAAGGTGCTGTCATATGCAAGCCATTACATAAATGAATAGTATGCTTTTTTTAAATATACATTATAATGCCACACCAAAAAATGAGCAAAATTTTTGTTGTGCTCCTGTCTTTGGTTGAGATGGTCTAAGTACCTTGTTCTGCAGTCTAGATATCTAAAATCCAAACATCTATTCTCTGGTGCTTTTTCCCTGTGGTTAACCTGTATTTTGTCTCTTGTTGGCCACTAAATGAAGATGTTGGAATGGATCAAGTATTAATTGAGCTTGGAAACTATGTGAATGTTCCATTCTCCAGAATATGAACTCATGCAGTGGTCTTTCGGGTAGAACAGGGGCAGCAGTAAGATTCTTTTGTTTATTTTATTTGTTCATTGTTTTTTTTATTTGGGTGAAGTTGATCATTTTTTGCGAAGCATTTCTGTGGCTTAGCAGCAAAACTGGAAGCTGCTGGGTGAGCCAGGGAATGCTTACCTCTGGGAGGACCCAGGAAATGCTTACAGTTTTGTGGTTGGATATTTATGCGATGATGTTGTACCTTCATACCATTATAAGCGCGTTTTTAAAGAAATGGGGAAATCACATTTTTAAGAAGGAAGGATGCTCTGTATTCAGAAAGCTGTTTTTGGGCGAGCCATTAGAAACCACAGATAAGATCTTTCCATTTTTGATGTGGGTATCTCATATCATTTTTATTGGTATTAATGAGCTAGCTAATATTTAACGTTCTTTTATTCATCAGGTACTTGGAAAGAACACATCACTTATCTATTTAGTAATGTCTTCTTGATTTTACATCTGCAGTGGTGACAAAAGAAGTGAGGGAGAATGGAACATTCCTTTGGCCACTTTAGGTCAGCTGTCCTAATTCTGTTCCCTTTCAGTTCCTTGGGCTCTTTTCTGAGAATGACCTCGGCCTTCTAGCAGCCTTTTCAGATATTGTCTGACTTCATACACTTTAATTATGGGCTGCTAGGTATAATATGCATAAAGAAGCAGGAGAAAAGCATGTACGGGAAGTAAAATCTATAAAGGGTGAGGAAGGAGTTTACTTCAGTCTCTGGGAATGTTAAGTGCTTTCTCTGTTGTTTCTCCTAAGAAAAAGCTGCTGAGACTATTTTGACACTTTTTAAACAAAACATTATTTCTCCAATGGAAAAGACAACCAGAATGTTTTGACTGAAGCATTGATTGTGTGAACGATTTGATATACCAATGCTTTTGGAATAATTTGGGGGACCATGGGAAATCACTTAATGGAATTTGGTCCATGTCTACATAATCTGACTTTTGCTAGAGTAATTGAAGATGCCGCTTAATAAACTTTTTATAAAGACTCCCAGTTGGTTGCTGCATTTCAGAGGGTTGTCTGAGCACTGAAGTAATACATCTTGTAATTGTCTTTTTCCCCCCCACCTCACTTAGATATTTTCCCCAGGGAAGAATCTAATGTACTGTAATGCTCGTACCTTTTACAAAGTGACCCTACTCATTACGATTTGTTCTCTGAAGCTCCCTTGACAACATATAAATGCACTGAGAATCCTTAAGCTTTGTCTTCTGCACTCCTGGAAAAAAATCTATTTGAAAATTTGTCTTTAATTCTGCCATTACAGCTCTGAGTTCCTGAATGTCAGCACCTTGCTCTGTGTCACAATGCATGCTCAACAGATATATTCTAATAGCTATCCTATTTATACCTACACATTTTCATAAAAAATAGGTGCAGTGTGCAGATTAGATGTTTTGAGTAATGTTATATTTTATGATGTGTAAATGTTGACACCTGATTGTGGCCTTCCAATACTTGAAGGGAGCATATAAACAGGAGGGGGAATGGCTGTTTGCAAGGGTAAATAGTGATAGGATAAGGGAGAATGGTCTTAAAGTGAGACAGGGGAGGTTTAGGTTAGATCTTAGGAGGAAGTTTTTTACACAGAGGGTGGTGATGCACTGGAACAGGTTGCCCAAGGAGGTTGTGGATGCCCCATCCCTGGAGGCATTCAAGGCCAGGCTGGATGTGGCTGTGGGCAGCCTGGTCTGCTGGTTGGCAAACCTGCACACAGCAGGGGGGTTGAAACTGGATGATCATTGTGGTCCTTTTCAACCCAGGCCATTCTGTGATTCTGTGACTTTCTGGGGCTGGTGGTAACTGTGTTAACTCTACTGCAGTAGGTTCTATAGCTCTTTTCATTTCCTCTCAAATTGCTGTGAAATGTTTATTCTGATTGTTTCATCTGTTTTCCAGCTCTGTAAGCAGGTACCACATTTAGGTTGATGGTGTATCTGGAGATAAAAAAAAAAAAAAAATCCCATTGCAGAAAAGAATGGTGATTTTAGGAGGAAATTGGATTGTGGGGCAGGGAAGAATCTCCTTGAAAAAACATTCCTTAAAAGCAACAAACTGAGTACTCCTCATAAAAAACAAACAGAGCTCTGTACATACCCACAGTACTCAAAGATGCTTTTTCAAAAACCCTTGAATGATCTGTGCTCAGTGTGATTTATGAAGTAGCATTCCTAAGACTTGTTGAATTTGTGTATTTGGATTTTGATGCTTCAATCTGAAATAATCTGGAATTTCTGGTGAATTCATGTTCTGCTGTTTTCAGAAGCCTGTAATAATTTGTTACAGGGACTGCTTTCAAAGTGATTGTGTTTACATCTCTTAAAATGAATTTAGATAATAAGCTTTCCATCTGAATTTCCCTCTGTCTTCTGTAGACTGAAACAAGAACAAGAGTATGTACGTGATGAGTTTGGCAAAATCCTGGAACGAGAAAGGGTTTCTTCAAATGAGCATCTGACCCGAGCCATTCTTCGTGAGAGAGCTGCAACAGAAGAGGAGCGTCAGAAGGCGCAGCGCTTTGTAAGTTCAAGGTCTTGTAGAATGCTTGGATTTCTGAACAGCCATCTCTTCTGACTTGTTTCAATCTATTAGTAGAAGCAGAAAGTGCGAGTTGTCTTGTGATTTATTTAGTATAGAATAGCATGATAGAAGAATAGTTGAATAATAATAGAATAAGATAGAAGACTAGTTGATAGTCTAGGTCAGGGGGGAAGTTCTTTACTATGAGAGTGGTGAGGTGCTGGAACCTGGAGGCCTGCCCAGAGAGGCTGTGGATGCCCCATCCATCCCTGGAGGTGTTCAAGGCTAGATTGAATGCAGCCTGGACAGCTTGGTCTGGTTTAAACGTGGAGGTTGGTGGCCCTTTCTGTGGCGGGGGGGTTGGAGCTTGATGTTCCTTAAGATCCCTTCCAACCCAAGCCATTCTATGATGTGATTCTGTGTGTCTGCTTACTAACTTGGTTTATCGAAGAGTTACAGAGTACAAGATCCTCTTCCATAAGTTAATTACTTTCACATTTCAAGGAAGTCCATAATATTCCTCACTTGAAAACTGTCAATAAGGAATCAAAAACTGTAATTTTGAAGTCTCCTTCATGCTAGAAAACAAAAAGAATTGTCTAACTCTTGTTGATTGCCTGAAACGTTGGTACTGGCTTAGTGAGAAATTCTGTATCAAAGAATCCTATTTTAATAGAGCTGCTGTATAAAAACTTCTGGACAAAGAAGTTATAAAATGCAGCTGCCTGTTTTCTTTTGAAAACTGGCAACTGTATATTTCAGTCATTTTCAAATGTCTGGCAGATTCATAGCTTCCTATGTAACATTTCCTTGGTATATTGAGTCTGTACTGAGCTTTCCTAGTAACGATAATCATTATGCTCTGAGATACGAATATCACTTAGGATTTCTTTCAAGGTTGCCAGAGTATAAATGATTAACAGATCATTAACAAGAACAAAAGTTTCAAATGACTTACGTGAGCATTCCTTTTAAAATAAGGAGGATTAGTTATACCACCATCTATGTAAATATGTTCGACTCTCTGCATCAAAGATGAATTCAAAGCTTTCTAAGAGCTACTGGTGGGTAAGAGAGGCAACCAGTCACTTCAGTAATCAATAGCTTTATCTACGCTGTGTAAATACAAATCTATTGCCTCTACTATTTTTCCAAACCATTTGTGACTTAAATTTCAAACAAACAAACACCAAACAATAAAAAATTATTAGATAAATTATTAATATTTGGGGGAAAAAAGGAAAATGGAGGGGAGTTATGTCTAAGACAGAGCTCTAGTCTTATGCCTTTAACCCTCGGGCTGTTAACGTGAAGAATGGATAAGGGTTTTGTGGTCTCAGCCTAATGGAGAACCAGAGAGTTACATTGAGGTTTAATATTTGCATGACTTACCTTGAACTTTACATCTTTCACTTAGTGCTGTCCTTAGCACTGTGCTTTTGTGAAGCATGTGATGCCTTTTTCATCATCCAAATGCCTGGGAGAGATCTAATTATGATATGAAACAGGTGTATTTAGCTATCATGTTGATTGTATTGTTAATTTTCACTTATTCTAGAATTTTTAAGGTAGAACTGCCTACATGAAGGAATCACCTGTGAGGTTTTAAAAGATCGTGGAGTTCTCTGCTGAAGTTTTTTGCTGAAACTACTGCAATTTTTTGTTTGTTTGTTTCCACCATAGTTTGTTATTAGCTGTTTATTTGTCCAACAAATCCAGGTTGAATTTGTAACATTTGCAACATGAAGATATGTCTGTGTGCTCCATTCTCAGGTGGAGTGAATGATCCCATGTGCTGGTTAAGTGCTAGAGCAGGTTGATTTTTTTATTTAGCCCAAATTTGGTCACATCTGTCAGATTCTTTATTGGAGAAAGGACTAGTGTTTAGGAAATGTCAATATCTTTATCTTCATTGTTAATTCCTTTGCTGCTAAATTGTTTAAATAGTGAGCAGACAGAGATGCAGTAAAACAGGAAGAATGTTTTTGTATAAAGGCTGCTAATTCAGCTTTAACAAACAGATATGAAATTGTTAGATTGAGGTAATATTTCCCAGTCTTAAACCATTTAAAACTGGCTGCTGCTTATAGGTTCAAACAGGAAACTTTTAAGTATTAGAACACCAAAAGTTGGCATTGGCTCTTCGTACAGATGAAGAAAATTGGTAAGATGAAGCTGAAGCTGACAGCTAAGAGTAGAAGCTTTGCAGGTGATAAGAAGTAGAGAAAGATGTCATTTGTCTTTTTAAGGAAAAGTGCTGCAGTTTTCAACAAAGATATCTAAAGGAATCCAGCAGAGCTTGAAGAGCAAGGTAAGGCAAAGGAGTTCACCCTTAAAAAATTGGAAATAATTTTTAAGTGAGCAGAATGAGCACAAGTTAGGCTAAATACTAAAAAACAACCCTCCAGAATATTATGTGTGACCAGAAAGGTTCAGTCACAGAATCACTGACTATCCCAAGTTGGAATGGACACACAAGGATCATGGAGTCCCACTCCCACACAGGACCACCCAAAACCCAAACCCTATGCCTGAGCATGTTGTCCAAATGCTTCTTGAGCTCTGGCAGCTCAGGGCTATGCTCATTGCCCTGGGTAGCCTGTTCCATGCCCACTGCCCACTGATGCAGAACTTTTCCCTAACCCCTCGGGCCCTATCACTGTCACCAGGGTGCAGAATGTGTGTGTGCAAGCCCAGACTCCATGGAACTGAAATCCCAGCAAGGACTGTAGAGTCAGTCACTGGGAAATGTGATCTGTGATAGAATAGATGAACCCATAGCAGCAAAACAGTTCTGAATTAATTCTTTCATATGTGCCTTTTAAAGTGGAGGAACTTTGCAAGCTGCCATGCCAGAAGTTTTCTTTGCAGAGATTTCCTCAGACAAAGCCATTGATCTGAAGATTCAGTAGAAAACATTAAGGAAAATTGATGGTTTTACCAATAACAGCTCTTCAGGCCTGGGTGGTATTCATGAAGGCTTTAAAAGAAACTTGATGATAGATGAGCTAATGATAACTGAGCTACTTACATGCTGTGTAAGCTCTTAGGAGAAGCTCCCTCAGTACAGGTGGGGAATTGGCTGATGGGATATCAGCTTCTTAAAATATGAGATCCAGACACATAAAACTCAGAAGTTCTGATGTTTGTACCAAGCAAGGTAGGAGTGATAAAATTTAGAGTCAAATTTCCAGATCCTCATGTGCAGAATGTGCTTGAAGTTGTGCTTAAGAACTATCTGTAGCAGTGTAGCATGTCAAAAATATTTCTTTCTTCCATATCCTTAGCACATACAGTGTGATATTTCTTCTGTTCATCCTTCCTGAGGGAGGACTTCATAATGGATTAAGGCATTTATTTCAGGCTGACCACAGAAGAATTTTGATATTGGATTGATCCCCTCGTGTGTAGTGTTCCATACTTGTGACTACTCCAAGAATACTTACATTGTGTTTATGCAGGCAGCAGACCTGTCTTCCTTTTCACTATTTGTGACTGGAGACCTTCACTACACATCTAAGCATTGTGGATAGTTGAGCTGGGCACAGTGTTGTTGAGTGCCTTTAAATGCGGTAGCTTTGCCATAAACAGTGTATTGATGTTCCATCACTGCAGTCATTATGAGAGCCAGGGTGAGACACAGAGAACATGTAGGAAAAAATCAATAGTTATCCAAAGTGCAGAGGACCTGTTGTATTTCCATCTCCTTGTAATGACCTGGAGTTTACTGTTAACATGTTTGCTTCACTGTCTGGACTGAAACAAGCTGTCATTAAGACCCTATATGTTAGAAAATGGTTTTATTGAGCTGCCAATGACATTAAAGTCTCATTTCCCTTTGAAGAGGCACAGAAATATTGTTCTGTTCATTTGCTGTAACCATAACATTAAAATTTGATTACTGCTATCATTAGAAATCTGTATCCATACTAATATAATTACATATATTTCCCCATGTATTGTTCCAGGCTTTCACAGAAGTACCTGTTAGAGAATGAAGTCTGTTGTTGCTGAGGTATTTTCCTGTTGTGTAAATTATTTGCTGTATGAGAGAGTCTATTAATAAGCTCTGTGCTCAAGAAGTCAAATTGGCAGAAGTATCCTTACTTTAAAAAGCAGTTTCTGCACTTCAGGTGCATGTGGTAATCGATCTATTGGATTTTTGAGGTATGTGTAGAATTCTTTTTTTTTTTTTACTTTTCTGAGCACTGAAATCAATAGACAAAATTCATTCCTTGATATGTTAGAGCTGAAGCATGTTGAATTATGATAGGAGTGAATTTGACCTATTGTCATAATTGAATACATACTGTTTAAAATGGAGCATTTTCATCTTCTCTGTCTCAACCGTTAGGATATTTTCCCTATCATCCCTATCGTCCATATCACTGTGTGTGTGTGCTGTGCAGCCTTTCCTTTAGTGTTGCATTTATTTTTCCTGTCCCCAATTCATTAGCTTTTTCAAGAGGAGGTCCTCTATTTTCTCTAAGCAGATTATGTGCTGACTCTTCCTGCTCTTTCCAAACAGTCCTGTGCTAACCGTATTTTAAGGATGATTTCACTAGAAAATACCAGGGGGAAGAATTACTAAACGAGTTAAAGCATTAGTTCTCAAGAGAAAAGAAGTCTGTTTACAAACCTGCAGTATTTATTACATACCTCATTTAGCTCATTCATCATTTTAATAGAAAAATGAATCTTTTTAGATGATTCTGAAATAATTCGAGGTAAACTACACAGCCCGAGGCACAACATGATTGCTTACTGCAGAGAGGACGAAGCTGTTTCTGGGAAGTATGGTATGATTGGTGGCTGTAATTTACAATTTATGACAGTGAAAATACTAAAGGCGCATATTTGAAAATTAGACTTAAGATTTGAAAACAACGTGGTACAGAGCTAAACCCAGTGACACTTCTTTTGTCTCTTGTTCTTCAGTTTTATAATGTAGAAGCATTTGTACTCTTTGAATGCTTGTCTTTTTTTCAGATCTACTGGTA